TCCCCCCCAAGTAGTAAGCCAAGTCCCCCCTGTGTCAATTCACTTACCTTTGCTCCGCGCGTTCCTCTCGCCGTGTTCCCGCGCCATTCCGGTCTTCAGGGCGGACTGTGAGAGGAGCCTAGCTCCCCTCACGTTCGTCACGCTGCCCCGCCTACACACATCCTGTTTGCCTGCCCTGGCTGCGGGCCGGATTAAAAGGTCCGCCGGGCCGTATATGGCCCGCGGGCCGTAGTTTGCCCATTGCTGCTCTATACCATGTGCCAGGCCTATAGACTTATCAGTTCATTGTAAGCTGGGTCTGATGTTGGACCCCTTTCTAATTCTGCTGTAAGCCTTACATGCTTCCATACACTTTCTTACTGCTCCTTACTTTCTGTATTGAAAATTGAAAACCTTCAATAGAAATAGATTATACAAAAAAATTATATATATATATGAATAGACTAGCCTTGTAGACAGAAGATAAATACAGGCAGTTTTATGCTATAGAAATGTATGTGTATGGTTTATATACGAATTATAACACAATCAAAATCCCAACATTTAGAGTGGCTTTGTATACATCACTAATAGGGACGTATAATATTCTATGTTGCCAATGGGAGTATTAAGTCATATGCCACAGTACACAAATAATGTGCAATATATGGCATAAGGCTGTAGGTTTGTTGTCTAATAAAATCAATACCAATAAAATATGTTTTTGCCTCAGGCCCATTAGCTGCCAGGCATCAGTGTTAATTATAATAAAATAGTAGCATTTCAGGTGATTAGTGGTACAACTGTATAATCCTACAAAAGCCTGTAGGTGGGCACAAAGTAGCCTTCCCTGGCAGAACATGAGCTGCATCTCTCTGACATCGTATTCTATGTACCTGGCACAGGAGGGGAGCTGAACTTCTGAAGGATCCACCACAGCGATCCGAATGGCAGTGGGAGCGGGTACCTGTCAAAACCAGGTACCCACTCCTTCCTTCCCCCAAAAAGTGCCAAATACAGAAGAGGAGGGGAAGGTGGGCATAAAGTGGAACTTCCTCTTTAGGGTAAAGCTCCGCTTTAATAAGCAAACCTTGCACCCAAATTTAAAGTCCTCCTATTGAATATTGTCTCAGTCCCATGGGAGAAAGGTTATAAAACATACTTTACATCCGGCTTCTACAGAGAAGAGGGTGATATTCCAATCCTTCTGGTGAATGTCTGGAGAATGTTCTTTAAAAAAATTAAATTTAAAATATTTGTAAAGAGTAGCATGCAAAATGTTAAAGTGTTGCACAGAGTGACCCATTCACAAGCAACTTGGCCGCAATCCAAATCAGTTATATATGCAGTCAGACATGCCAGAAACAGTGCAAAAGAAAATAAAACCCGTGATCTGGCCATTTATGAGTTAAAGGAGAAGTCTGCGGTTTATCAAAAAAAAAACAAAAAAAAAACATTCATACTTCTCTCTATGCTGCAGCTGTCACATGTCAGCTCTAACCCCAAGAACTGAGCGATCACGTGACCAATGCTTGCTCTGTTCTTCGTCTGCTGGATGTAGAGAACAATGACTGACAGTAAGGAGAGAAGGTAGGAGTGGCTGGCCCCAGATCTCAGCCATGTGAAGAGAGGAGGAGCCAACTGTCAATTACGCAGCTGGTTGGATCCCCCACAATATAGTCAGGATCTTTCCAGAGCCTGGAGTGGCTGTGCCATGGGCAATGGCCTGCTATTAGCTGACTCCGGGGTCCCAGGAGAGCAAAATTAGGTGTACTTGTGCCCCACAAGAGAAGTATGGCCAAAAAAGCTTTGCCCATACTTACCTTCTAATATCTTTCTATTGCAGTTTGTTAATTTGTTTTAAAGTGAAAGTTAAGCATATTTCACGTTTTTACACATTTGCTATTCCATATTTTTGTTATTGCATTTAAATAAAGACATTTGCAGACTAGCCACTAGAGGGAGCTCTGCATTTGATTCAGCTTGGCTCAGCCATTCTGTTTAACAACTGTTGCGATATCAGTCACGTAAATGCGTTGCTTTCAATGAGTTGCCCAACAAAAAATGGTTCTAAATTTATATTGTAAAGCGCTGCGCAAACTGTTGCCACTATACAAATCCTGTATAATAATAAAAAAGGCAGAAGGTTTTTTACCTTAATGCATTCTATACATGGAGTTAAAAAAAAAACTTTCTGGGTGCAGCTCCCTCCTCAGCCCCCCCTTAATACTTACCCAAGTCCAATCTTGATCAAGTAATGTGAATGAGAGTCGTGCTTCTCTCAGGTCTCTCTCTCCTCATTGGTTCAAACAGCAGCGAGAGCCACTGGCTGCTGCTGCTCTCAATCACAGCCAGTGAGTCAATAAGGAGGGGGGGTGAAGGTTTGGGGCCAAGTCACACTGTGTGTGTATGTGTGAATAGACAATGTCCATTCACAGGAGCCTGGCTTGAGAGTGAGCCTCATCCAGTGCACCCCATAGAAAGAGGCTTACTATGAGGGGCACTCGGCAGGGGGGAGGAGTCAGGACTGCCAGCGGGGGACCCAAAAAGAAGAGGATCAGGGCTGCTTTGTGGAAAATCATTGCACAGAGCAGGTAAGTATGACATGTTTTTTATTTAAAAAAAAAGGGACCGGCTGAAATTCAATCCATCTATGGGCAGACTGGTTGTACTGAAGTCGATTATTCATCACCAGCCTGTCGGAATGTTTGCATATGATCAGTGGCGGTGGCAAAAGCCACTAGCAGTGATCATTGTGTTCTGCCAGTAGGAAAGGCTCCCCGCCGGCAGAATACAATAGCGCTGCAGGAAAGAGGCAGTGTTGATTGGAGAAAATGAGCAATTTTCTTTCCTTCCACCCATGGAATCTATGGCCTGTCTTAGACATGCATTATAGAAAGGAGCACAACAATTGTGTAGTACTGCATGGCAGGAGAATGTCCATCGTATATATCGCTGCTACCGTGTACATATATATTTTCAACTTATACATGGAAATACATTTTTACAACATTAAGACACAATGAATATTATTATTTACAAGCTGATAATTTTCATATGTATATTTAAAATAAAGAAATTGAAAATACTTTGCATTCCCTTAAAGAGATCCTATACCACACTGATGGCTTTTGCAATACGATGTTAAACTGCATTTTTTCGCTGTGTTTTCTACTTTCTTCATAAACTTACCAGCTTACTTCACTCACTGAGTTACTCAGACAATTGTCATTAACTCCATGCTGTAGGGATTGCCATAGGCTTATAATACTTATAAGTGATGCTCCCAATTTTAGGCATCACTTTCAATTATAAGTTAATTTCCAACCTCCTAAGTGGTAATAATGAGCACCTCCAGGGATCAAAGGAGCTTGCTATTGTGCAGGGAAATTTCCACCTGCGGGAAAGTCTACCCAGGAGTGAACCTGATTCTTTAATCCTTTCCGCTGCTCCGCAGTGCAGAAAAGTACGGCACATATTATGAACAATGAAAAGATACAAGTGTACTACAACCCCTAGAGCACTGTTTAGATGTTTTTCTACTTTCCTATTAGAACTTGTTACCAACAGTTAAAACATGTAACATCTTTAGGCCTTTGCTTAGCTCTACTGAATGCGTTTTCTCATGGTACGAAAAAAGCTACTTAAAAAAAAAAAAAAACACACGCCTAAAGTAATTTTTTGCGCATGCATTTAGGAGCGTTTAGGCACATTAAAGCGGAATTCCACTCACCCCATCACAAAATAAAAGTCAGCAGCTACAAAAACTGTAGCTGCTGACTTTTAAAAAACAGCCACTTACCTGTCCCTCGGTCCCATGCTGTGTCCCCCACAGCTCGTTTCACCAGCCGTACTGTATTCCAGGAGGCCGGAATCTTCAGTATGGGCCCTTGGCTGTGATAGTTTGTGGCTTCACAGCCGGGTGCCCACTGCGCATGCGCGAGTAGCGCTGCGCTTCGTGAATGGGCCTGTAGTCTTCTGGGACCTGTCACGTGTCCCAAAAGACTACAGAAAGGGAGGGAGGGAGGACACCTTCCGCTTCCGATCGCCTAGGCAGAAGTGGGAGAAGGTACCTGTCAAATTTGGGTACCTGGTCCCCAAAGGTGCCAATCCTTAATGGCTCCGCTTTAAGCATTTGGTGTTTACAGATTCCACTGAACAGAATATCATTTTATTCTGGCCACTGTAATGAACGCTCAAGCACTATACACATCTAGGAGTTTAGGTGCATGTAGACTTGTTGGCATGCACTTAGGTGTGCGTTTTCAGCACCTCTCCTGAATGCTGGTGGTGCATTTTATTTTCCTGCCTGTATACGCTCCTCTTCTAATACACACCTGGACATATAGGCTAACATAGAGGTGCATTTACAGGCAAAAAAAAAGGCCAAAAGGCCATAAAAGTGGGGTTTTTTTTTTCCCTAAGTTCTCTGTGCATGAGGTCTTTCCTCTTTAACCACTAGCCTACTAGGCACTTATACCCCCCCCCCCCCCCCTTCCTGCCCAGGCCAATTTTCAGCTTTCAGTGCTGTCGCACTTTGAATGACAATTGCGCGGTCACGCAACACTGTACCCATATGAAATTTTTATCATTTTTTTTGAGACAGATAGAGCTTTCTTTTGGTGGTATTTAAGCACCACTGGGTTTTTTTATTTTTTGCTAAACAAACCAAAAACAACTGAAAATTTTGAAAGAAAAAAGTTTTTTCTTAGTTTTTGTTTTAAAATTTTGTAAATAAGTGATTTTTCTCCTTCACTGATTTGCGCTAATGAGGCTGCAGTGATGGACACTGATTGGTGGCACTGATGGGCACTGATAAGGAGGCAGTGGTAGGTGGTACTGATGGGCATTGACAGGCATCACTGATGGGCACTGAAAGGCAGCACTCATATATGGCACGGATGGGCGGCACTGATAGGCAGCTCTGACTAGCACTGATAGGCAGCACTGACTGACACTGTTAGGTGGCACTGATAGGCAGCACTGATGGACACTGATAGTCGGCACTGACTGGCACGGATAGGCGTGCACTGACTGGCACTGATAGGTGGCACTGATTGGTGGCACTGACTGGCTATGATTGGTGGCACTGACTGGCACTGATAGGGGACACTGAAAGGCAGCTAAGATGAGCACTGATATGTGGAATTGATGTGCACTGGTAGGCACTGACATGTGGCACTGATGGGCACTGGCAGGTGGCACTGATGAGCACTGACAGCTGGCATTGATGGACACTGACAGCTGGCACTGCTGGGGCTACACTGATCATCAGTGCTCTGCTGATGTGTACATGTCCCCTCCGAGGAATGCCAATTACCGGCTCTCTTCTCCTCTCGAGCTGTCAGTGTGACAGCTCGTGAGGAGAGAAATGCCGATAACCGGCATTTCCCTATTTACATGAAATCAGCTGTGATTGGACACAGCTGATGACATGACCGAGACAAAATCTTCGGCTCTTTCCGTTGATTGGTGATCCGCTGTGTCCAAGGGACACACCACACCACCAATCGCCGCGCTGCACGCTCCCGGAGCGGTTAGAATGGGAAGACGTCATATTGCATCCTCCCAGAATGAGAGAATCACCTTGCGCCTGTCATTGCCTTATATGGCGGGCGGGAGGTGGTTAAAGTGTTGGTAGTTGCAATCACAAGCCAGTCCTGTTTCTATAATGGATCTTGTTACAATGTTGCAACTTTAGAAAAGGAGCTGCATCCTGAGAAGAGTCTGAACCTTGTGGCTCTGTGCTAGCTTCAAGTGAAACTTTAGTGCACAAAAAAAAATTGTGAACAGGTACGATTTTTTAATGCAGAAGATACATACTTTGGGATATATACTAAAACTTGAGAGTGCAAAACCTGGTGTAGCAGTGCATGGTAGCCAGTCAGCTCCTAACTTTAGCTTGTTCAATTAAAAGAGAAATAGGGCTTCCCCCCCCATTTACACTTAACTAGGTGGATGGTGCATCTGTCCCCCATCAACTCTAAGGGTGAGAACTCAGCGATCACATAACCGATGAGTTCTCCTCTCAGCTCTGAGAAAAGAGCAGTGACTGTCAGTCACCGCTGGCTGCTCTGTCCCCCCCAGCACTAACTGGAGCACTGGTCTCTTTCCCCAGCCTGGACCGGCTGAGTGACGTCAGCTGACAGCAGACTTCAGCCCGCTGTCAGCTGAGTACGGGTCACAGGAGTGCAGAACAAACTGCAAAAGAGCTTTGGCTGTAGTTCTCCTTTAAGCTTAGACAATAAAACCTTGAAGCCGATTGGTTTCTATGCTGAGCTGTACTTGTTTTGCACACTCCAGTTTTAGTAAATGTCCCCCAACATGCCACTACTGCATTCAAATTTCCTCCCTGCCTGTCTGCACTGTACACTGAGCTGCACATGTGCAGCTCAGTGTACAATTCCAGCAATGTGAAGATGAATGAACTCCTGTGCATATGCAGGAGTGATGTCATCTTGGCCTGACCGATGAAAATGGCCAGAGATCGATATCCAGAAGCAGACCAGCCGATGATGTAAGCAGCCGATAGGGGGCTCTAGGACACTGCAGCACTGGAGAAAGGGTAAGTTCCACTTTAAAGTAGAAGTGAAGTCAACTTTTTTTCTCATTTTAGATAAAGTAAGGGAGGGTTCTAACCCCTGTCAGTTTTTTGCCATCTGTTTTCCATTGGGGAGATTTCTCTTCACTTCCTGTCCCATAGCCAAAACTTGGAGCGAGAGGAAATTCCTCCAAAGTAAGTGGAATTTCTGGTAGTCACCAGAACTAGTGTGCTTACTGGAAGATTTCCCCTCCATCCTGTTCTGGTGAACAACCAAAATTTAAGATTGTTTTTCCATTTTGGTGATAACAATCACCAGAACAAAGAGGGTGAATCTCCCTAACAAGGACACCTGACAGGTATTCTAATCCCTCTGCTCGCCATCTTAAATTAAAAAAGAAGGTTTTGCTTTTAGTTACACTTTAGGCTCTTCTTCACCTCCTCTCTAAATCTTGGGACCTTGTTCTAGTTAAACTCTACCTCCATTCCTTTCTATTGTGGTAGACCTGAAACAGAACTAAAATGCAAAACTTTTTCAATTTGGAAAGATTAAAGCAGAGTTATAATCCCTGTCTGTTTTATTCTGGGGTTTTTTTTTTTGTCATCTGTATCCCATTGGGGAGGTTTCCCTTCACTTTCTGTCCCATAATCACAACAGGAAAGGAGAGGAAAACCTTCCAAAGTGAAGGAAATCCCTGATAGCCATCAGGGTCACCAGAACTAGTGTCCGCATTTCCCTTATATTCCTGTTCTGGTGACCACTCAAATTTGGGAATTTCTGATACTTTCACTTTTGATGAGAACGATCACCAGGTCAAATTGAAAGTGTGAATCTCTCTAATGCCAACACAGACAGCAATAAAATAAATTCAAGTAAACTTTTGCTTCACCTTTTCTCCTAGCTTTTCTCATAGCATTGCCTACCACAAGTGAATCCTAGCTTCCACAGGGGTTGTCCAGGTTGATCCAAACTAAACCAATGTAACTATGCAAAAATATCCATTCATTTTAGCTAACCTAGAACCAAAGTCTGATGTCCATTCACACTCTACAACCCTCTGATCTGATCTGCCTAAATGGAATGGACAAATCCTCTTTTTTTTTTTTTTTTTTTTTAGCGGACTGGATCAGACCCGGAGGTAGCGGGTGTAAATGGACTCAAGTCCGTTTGCATCTGCCTGTTCACAGGAATGCATAGACTTTTCAATTAGGTCTGCCTGAAAAACTGACAGGTGGCCTTGATCGGATCATCTGTGTGAAAGGGGGCCTAATATAGTAGTGTTTTTTAATGTGATGGTAAAACCCCTTGAAGCTGATTACTTAAAAAAGATGAGAATTTTTGCTCAATAAAATGACCAAAGATACACTTCAATTATCCAATCATCGTGTGAAAATCAAATTCCTGTTTTTTTTTTCATCTGCACATGATTGGGTATTCAAAGTGAGAAAAGATACCATTAATTGAGAGAAGATTCTCAATCCTTTACTAAATCAACCCTTATATGCATCAAAGGGTAAAAGCACTTTGCAAAGTAGGGATTGGCTTTCCATATAATAACACTCACTATGAAAAGAATGCTGTCCTTTTTAGACATACCTGCATTGTGCATGACAGGAGAGGAGAATAGTTGTCAAAGCCTGGCTTCCATGAGATAGCTGCGGTGATGCTGGTCACTTTATTCACATTCACATTTGTAGGCGGGTGGGGTAGACCTGTAGAGAGAAAACACAAATGTTGTAGGTATATATGCCAGATCCAACAGGATACTGTTGTTTGAAAAAAGTAAGGGTATCTTCACACTAAAATAGTCCGTTTCTGTGATGATTTATGTTGGTTTAGTGCAGAAAACCATGGGTCAAGCAGTACTGTGTGAACAAGTACTAAGAACATCAGAACAAAAAAGCAACAAGGCCATCAGACAGCATAAAGGGATTTTTTTGACCTGGCCGTTTTGTACACCATGCATTACATGGGGTTGTAACATGATGGATGTTGTTGTAAAACTCCTTGGCGAGGCTTGAGGTGCTCGATAGCCCTAGTGGAAAGATTTCTCTGAGCTTTTGAGAAGACAACATAATAGGTTAGTAAGGATTCAACTAACCGCTGTACACACCGGTGAGCGAAGCAACATGTTACTTATACACAATGGCCAATGCATGTCTGCATTCATAAAGAAATAAATTAATTAAGTCTCCAATAAGAGTAGAAGAGGTTCTCACTTTGCATGGAGGCTTTGTATGTATTACCCAATTCCCAATATAATATGGTGGCCAAATCCTTCCCAGAAAAAACAAAGACTAATTTTTGTCTTTACATTTAATACAACCAGATTAGTGACCCAGGTTCTCTAGCTTTCACAAAAATACTTAGAGCAAGATATAAATAACATATCTTCCACTTGGAAGAAGGAAGTTATTTACATTTTCCAAAGCTGGAATTTTGTAGGAATTGGACATTAGTTCAAAAGGACACTTTTTTCTTTCAATATGAAGCAGAGCTCAAGAAAAGGGGGCACAACCTGAAACTAGCAGGAGGAAAGAGGGACTGCTTGAAACAGACTTCCAACAGAGAGCCAAAATGACAGTAAGTGAATTTCAACACATTTTGGATAACATAAGTCTAATCTCGGATAACAAAAGATGAAATAAAAAAGAAAAAAAAAAAAAAAAACAGACCGAAAAAACATTTTTTTCCCTGCCACTGGTGTTTTATGCTTTTCTGAATTCCAAAAATTAGGAATCATAAATCTGATTTTCAATACAAACTTTGATTGTCTGTGTGTATTTCTGCTGCATTTATCCAGCTTTAATAAAGTACAGTGACAGTTACATCATTTAGCTCTCTGCTCGATGCATTGTGTAAAAGTGGAACTCCGCGTATATAAAGTGATTCTAAAAGCAAACAAAAGGACTTTCTTACCATAATGCATTTTCTGCATTTAAAAAAAAAACCCTTCTGCATGATTCACCCCCCCCCCCCAAATAGTTACTGGAGCCCGATCTAGATCCAGCGATGAGCATTCTCATCTCTCTCCTCATTGGACTGAGGGGCAGCAGCGGGAGCCACTAGCTTCTGCTGCTGTCAATCACAGTCAGTGAGGACTGGGGCGGGGTCAAGCTGGCTCTGTGTCAATGCAGAGCCGGCTTGGGAGCGAGCATGCAAAAGCAGCTTGCTATGGGGGCACTCGGCAGGACAGATGAGCCAGGAGAGCCAACAGGTAACCCAAGCAGAGGGGGATTGAGACTGCTCTGTGCAAATCTACTGCACAGAGTAGGTAAGTACAAGGACCCTGATAATCCGATTATGCCCGATCACACTGATGGTCTGATCGGTCCCACCTATCAGTTTTTCAGGCAGACCCGATCGGACTAACCATAGCTCTCCATGGAGCAGCGAGTATCAGCGGACATGTGTTCACTGACATCTTATCCGATCCCCGTACACTAAAAACAGGCGGAGATCCCCCGCTGAGTAAGCAAATCCACTGACGGGTCCACCCCATCTGAAAGGGGCCTAACATGTTTGTTATTTTTTAAAAATAAAAAACTTGTGCCTCTTAAATACTTTTAATGTAGCCCTGCAATCAATAAAGATGATTTTCACCCTCCTGCACCCCCCCTTTTTTTGTTTTTTTAAACCTCTACTTACCTGGTGACAAGTTCTGTTAAGTTTAGATACCCACCCAGTGGATCCAGAACTGTCCAGCTGAGATCATCTTCTTTCCTGGTAGCGTTTGGTCCAGCATCAGCATATTTTACTGCAAAGTTATCGATAGGCAGCCTGCTGTTCTGGGTTCATGATGATGTGACACTAGGCCAGCCCCCTCCTCATTTTCTCAATGAAAGGCTATGCCTCCTGGGATATGTGATGTGCATATCCCAGGAGCCAAAGGGTCAACAGTGCACGTCATTCGCCTAGGCAAATGACATGTAA